TCACTCTAATCACCATCGGATCAACGTCCCGATGCCAACGGTTGCACGTAACAGTACTTGCTACGTTTGTCAATCCGAGTCTCCACCACATGTTCGCTGTCTTTGTTGCAAGCGACAGTACCACGGGCGCTGTGCTAAACTCACACAGCCGGAGGCGGACTTCTACACTTCACATACCAAAGCTAAGTGGGTTTGCAACGACTGCGCAAAGTTACTTCACAGAGGCTTCAAAAACAGCCCTATTGGCTCTCTAGATGTGGCAGCTTTTAGAAACTTTTGCAGGGATTTGCAAGTCTTGACGAAGTCCACATCTAAAGGCGTCGACATTTGTGACTTGCCTTCCGGCGTTTTAGTAGCAAACGTAGGCGTTGATACTTGTGACTTGGCATCAGTCGACATCTCAGTTACATCTTCACCACAACCTCAAGGCTTCGACTGTGTTTGCCCAAGCAACCCTCTGCCTGCAGGAGCAGTCTCCGGTGAACAGGAGCTGGACGACACCATACCTATGATCGTTGGCTCGTCTCCTCCACGCGACCCGCATCCGTTTCTGATTACAAGTGGGAGCAACACCCGAAAACTAACGGATGACTCGCCAGCAGGTGAGCAGACCACAGGAACCAGTGTCGTAATCCTACGGTGCAAACGTCGGAACCCCGCCAAACAATCGAGGGACAAACACCGTGCTAAAAACTGCGCCAAGCACACTCAGTGCGCCATGCAATTGCAGAAGAACCCAGATCCCCAGTTCACACATGTTACACAGCCGAGGCCCCCACAATGCAGCCAAGGCACCAATACGCCTCGGAACAGTGGCTTGCCAGAATTCAACCGCAAGACTTTGATACTGTTCATTGTGGACGAGAGCGACCACCCGTCACTATCCCACAGAGCCAGTGCCGATCTACCCCAATGGCAATCCTTGCGGCAACTCCTTGGACTGCCGCCTACCTCCTCGCCCACTCTCTGCCGTCTACGCGCACCCCGCTCACCAGGTAGCAAACGCCCAAGGCCGTTACGCGTCACTCTGGAAAGTGCTGATGACGTCGAGGAAACGCTCTTAGCATCGGCTTGCTTGAATAAACTGAACACAAAGATCCGCGCCCAGCCAGACTTTCCCTGGGTTGTGAGGGAGGCAAGAAGAGAGGCGCGTATCAACAGCACGTGCGCCAACCACGATAGAGCTTGCAGTATAATTATACACGGAGTCCCAGAACTCCACACTGCCGACCCGGTTGAATCATCCCGCCACGATGTTCAGCAGTGGTGCTATATTCGGTCGCAGCTTAACCTATCAGTGGACAACTGTGGGGCGTGGTCTGTTCACCGACTGCCGAGGCCAGCTCACCTCTCGCAGATACAGGTGCCTAAACTGCTCAGGGTCATTCTTTTCACTCCTGAGATGCGCCAGGCTGTACTACAACGGTGGTACGAGCTACGTGGAAACTTCCCGTACGAAGTCAGAATGCATCCAGACAAACCGCGGGAGGAGCGCAGGCAAATTCAGGGAAGTAATTCCACGCCATTCAGTCGAGCCACGCCATCACTACCTATTACGCGACTTGTGGATATAACAAAAAACGAATAGGCACCGGCCCCTGTGGGGTCGGTGTAAACCACACTGGAACTACCCTAATATCTATGCCTTCAAGCCACTGCCCGCCAGAAGTTCATGTTAGCACGTGGAACTGCTTGTACACCAACGCTTTATCGCTACGGAACAAGGTGTCCAAAATCTCTTCCCTTGCGCTGGACACGCAAGCTAAAGTTATATGTATAACCGAAACCTGGTTCTGCCCAGACGTTGTGGACGCCGAGGTAGCTATCTCGGGATACGTGCTCTTTCGAAACGATCGTGAAAGCGGCAAAGGCGGAGGCGTAGCTGTGTATGTATCAGACCGCCTCACATGCGTCCCTCTCAAATCTCCGGAACTACTATCTCTTCCCGAATCCCTCTGGATACGCGTCCGCGGCTCTGGTTCCACCAGTCTCAGCCTTGGAGTGGTTTATCGCCCTCCCTCAGCTGCGCCAGAATGGCGGCGGTGCTGGAACGCCGCCCTCCGAGCAGCTACTTCAGATTTGGTTGCCCCCCTACTCGTCGCAGGTGACTTTAATTTCCAGGAAATAGACTTTACCTCTGGCCAAGCTCGCAGTCAGCACAGCCTTGAGTTTCTTGCCAGTGTTCTAGAACATGGCCTAACCGAACACGCACAGCAGTACACTCGGTGGCGAGACGGTCAAAACCCGTGGAAACGCGACTTGCTGCTCACCAACGAGCCACATCTAATTGACAACGTTAATTTGAGCGCCCCAGTTGGTGCAAGTGATCATGTAGTTATCAGTTTTCGTGTGGTGGCGAACGTCACGCTCAACACTAAAGCACTGCCCACCAGGCTTAAGTTTCGTCGAGCGGACTATGACGCGATCAAAGATTTCCCCTCACGAGTCGACTGGTCCCTGGCAGCACAAACCCCCACAGTCGACGACCATTGGAACTACATCGCCGCTCACATCCACGACGCAATTAGGGCACACGTCCCCACAGTGCGCGCTTATGCGCCGAAACGCCACAGGCAACTTCAGCCTGCTACGCTTAGGCTGATTAGGGAGAAGAAAGCCCTCTGGGACAGATTCTTACTTTTTGGTGACTCTGTTTCGCGAGCACAATACTGTAGAGTGCGAACTTCCTGTATAGCAGCTGTTTGCCAGGACAGAAAAGCGTACCAGTTCTCTCTCGCTAAAAGCTTCACCGATAACCCCAAGGTCTTCTTTAAGCATATAGCGTCTCTCACTAAATCGCGCGCTGCCGTTGGCAGCCTGCTCGGACCCGTAGGCAATACCACAACGTCGGACAAAGAAGCTGCGGAATTGCTGAAGACTCAGTACGAGTCCGTTTTCGGCACCTTCGCATGCAGTACAATGGAAGGCGCTAACTTTACCCCCATCACTGCCAGACATCCCGTGCAGTTTACATCAGAGAAAGTCCTGGAGAAATTAAAAAAATTAAGGACAGACAAATCGCCGGGTTTGGATGGGATCCCTCATAGTTTTCTACGTGAGTGCGCCACTGTACTGGCCGAGCCGCTTGCCTTACTTTACAGCCACTCCTACACCAGTGCCGAATACCCGAACGCTTGGAAGCAAGGGGTCATAACGCCGATATACAAGGGTGGTGACAGGACAAACCTCTCTAATTACCGCCCGATAGCACTGCTTTCCACTGCCTCCAAAGTAATGGAGAGTATCATAGACGATTTCTTGCGCTGCCATTTAGAAAGTCTGTCCTTAATAGCCCCGGAGTAGCACGCGTTCCGCAGGGCTCACTCGTGCACCACGAATCTTCTCGCAGCACTTGATTCCTGGACTGCAGAGGCAGACAATCACACTCCAACTGACGTGGTTTACGTGGATTTCTCAAAAGCATTCGACCGGGTCAATCACGCACGGCTGTTGAGTAAACTGCCGAGTTTGGGGATCGACCAGCAAACAATCTGCTGGCTAAGTACCTACCTGTCTGGCCGCACCTACCGTGTTCGTGTAAACGGCGCACTCTCCAGCGCTCTGGCTGCAACGACCGGGGTGCCCCAGGGATCCATCCTCGGGCCCCTGCTGTTCAATTTGTTCATCAACGACCTCCCATCCTGTATCAGCAGCCACATACTGCTTTATGCGGACGACGCTAAGATATGACGACCTATCCGCAGGCCAAGTGATCAGGCACTTCTCCAGACAGATATCGATGCTGCTTATTCTTGGGCCTCGAAAAATTCGCTTCCGTTTAACATCGACAAGTGCAAAGTCATGCACATTGGGCAAGGTGTGGCTAGCCCGTACAATATCGGCGGTGTGCATCTTAAAGCCACATCCCAGGAACGCGACCTGGGGACCATAATATCCGCCGACCTGAGCGCGAGCGCCAATGTAGCTACACTGGCGCGAAAGGCCAGCGGTCGCCTGGCCCTCCTTGGACGTGCACTAGGGTCTTACCCTAGAGAGACATTTGTCCGTCTCTATAGCACTTTAGTACGTCCGCTGCTGGAGTACAACATACTTGTCCAGCCGCCGTACCTGAAGAAGGACGAGGCCATGCTGGAAACTGTACAGCGCAGAGCCACTAAGAGAGTGGACGGACTATCCCACTTCTCGGATGAGGAGCGTCTGGCGGCCCTTAACCTCTTCCCGTTGAAATATCGCAGGCTTCGTGGCGACCTTATCTTAGCTTATTCCGTCCTGACTAATAACAGACACCCAAACGCCGGATTGCTGGTCCGCGCCCGTACAGATCATCTTCGAGGGCACTCACTCAAACTGATGACTCGTAGCAGTCGCCTTCTGTGCCGAAGAAACAGTTTCAGTATGCGTACTGCCTTCGCTTGGAACGCCCTCCCCGAAGCTGTTGTCTCAGCGCCCAATACGGAGGCCTTCAAACAGCGCCTAGACGCTTGGCTCTTACCTCGCTGGTCTTCCACGTTGCTAAGAACTGGCCATTTGCCAAGCTAACACGCGGCGTTTCCATCATTTTGCTTCTATCCAACTTTGCCGAATTTACCTGCACCACTCTCTTGTTCCAGGTATCCATGTTCCACAGTCAACTCGCTGAATTCTTGTGCTGAACACCACTACTGCGTCGAGACCCACAACATCTGGTACCTACCGACGAGATCAGAACCTTGCCGTAAGATCTCGAGGCAGAACCACCGAAAAGCTACGCTTACTCATTCTGCGCAAACCCGTGAAACCCGTGAAACCCGTGAACAGGTACGTGGTCGATCGTTTTCGCTTCCTGTGATACTTACCTTTCTCTTCCACTCCGGCACTTTACCTTCCTTCCTCCGTGCTTCCTTAGCTGCCACCTTTACATCGGCCTCTAACTAGGTGGCTCGACCTTACAGCCGTCTACGAGGGATTTATTTTCCATTACAGTTTGTCGCACTACCTGGACACGGAAGAGCTTGGAACGCCGGACCGAAGGAATATTACACTAACCTGTACCTCGTGTCATGCTTCATCCCTCCGGGTCTCCTTGTATCCCTTGGAATACAGTGCGCTGTTTCCGCCTCCAATTGCCTTTTGCTATCCGCAGTTACGTTCGAGCACTGTCTCGGACTAATATTTACTAGTCCTACAAGTAGTTGACCTCCATTCGCACTCGACAATTGGACTATTTTCTCCTTGTTTGTTTTTTGGTGAGTTCGTTCTATTTTATCGATATTATGCGTGTATTCATTTGTTTATTGTGTAATTTAGCACTTCTATCGTGTTTTTTCATCCTTCATCTTTTCAAGCATTTCGTGAGTGGCATCGTCGAAGTGCTGGGGGCCGATTCACTTACCGGCACAAGAACTGGACGCTCGTTAGGCCGAACCCTCTATTGTCCATCTGACCTGACCTGACCTGATCTGAGTCGTTTCGCAGTGTAAGCATGCTTACTTTGACTGTTCCAACTTTCATGGAACACAGCCCATAGGCTTGGTTTACGATATTCGAGATCGGACTGGAAAATAAGGGCTTTACAGCGGACCGTCCGAGGTGCAATCAGCTCGTCCCACGCCTTCCTTCGTCGGTTGTGATGCTGGTTGAGGACATTTGGCCCGTCGAGAAAGGCAAAGTATGAAACGATGAAGCAAGCAAATTTAAAAGAGTTACAGCCCAGCGCACGAGCTCGATTTGAACAGCTCAGTGGTCTCAAGCGTAGAGATCGCAAGCTGTCGGCGTTGCTCCGCGAACTTCAGCGCATCGCTAGTCCCTTATTCTTGAGCGAAGACGCTATAAAGGAGCTGTGGTTTGCACGTCTCCCAAAGCCATTGCCGGTAGTGCTGTCCATGTTTCTCGATACGTCCCTGAAAGAATTAGCTACCAAGGCTGCGTTCGAATGTTTTCCGCAACAGACGACCAGTACCTCCGGTGGCGTATTCTCACCCATGAAAAGCGAATCCCATATTTGCTCCGTCGTCAGGCCGATCTAACCCTAAAGATAGGGAAATTGCGCTACTTCGCAACAGGATAGCAGCAATGCAGATTTCGAAGTAGTGTGTGCCACGGTCAAATGCTGCCCACCTTTTTGCTAACGTACATTGCGGCTCGTCTGTGTCTGCACCGAGTACGTCTCGTTCGGCACGAAAGCGCGACATTTTATCTACAAGTTCTCAGTCAGATAATGTCAAACTCGTCGAAGAAGTGTGTTGGTATCACCGCCAATACGGTGGAAGAGCTAGACGTTGTCGGGCTCCCTGTATTAGGCACGGCCTAGCTGCTTCAGGGAAAGCGAATAGCTCGCAACGAGACTGGACCTTAACCTGGTGCGACGGTTTGCGTACCTCATTGACCCATTGAGCTATACTGGGTGATGCCTCCGAGCATCTTGAGAGCTACTCCTACCAGGTTGGTCAATGGTGAGAGGTCAGACAAACTCAGTCTCCTGGTCCTCCAGGTTGGGGGTTTGAAATGGGATGGCGTCCATTTCTGTAAAACTAAATCACTGCCACCCCGCTGCCTTGCGGACAGGCTTTTGAGCCAAAGGCTTTGGATGAGGACCCTAATCGTTCTCCTGTCTAGGTCTGGGCGCCCTGACAGTATCCCAGCCCACATACAACCATGACATTTTCTTCAAACATAAACTTCATCCTGCATCGGCCGTGGCGCAGATTATCAAGGGTCGCCTGATCTGCTGCATACAGCAGGGCGGATAAGCGAAAGCATGCTACTGCTGGCGCCTCCCTTCTTTCTTTTCCACCTTTTTCTCTTACTCCCATCCCGGCCCCTATTACTAACCTTCCTTCTATAATTCCCAGCTTAATTGACAGCAACCGAAGTGCTACTGGAGTAGAACCATCTGCAGCCACCATCCCCCAGCACCTATCGGACGCCTATCGGCAAAAGTTCCTTATAAGGCCACGCTATCCCGTTTCCATGGCGACATTCAACGTCCGCACTCTAAGACAAACAGGCCAGCAGGCTGCACTCGCACGCACCTTGGACACACTGGGTGTTGATGTGTGTTGTGTGTCCGAAACTAGGATTAATGACCCTAACGGGGTTATTGAATTGACTGCACCCGGCTTATCCTCTCGTTATTGGTTGCACGCATCCGGAGACGCCGATGCGGCACTCACGGGTCAAGCTGGTGTAGGTATCATTCTCAGCTGCAAGGCTGAGTCATCGCTGGTTGATTGGATTCCGGTGAACAGCCGTTTATGTGCAGCCCGTTTGACGACATCAGCTAAGGTGAATTCGCGAAGTAAAACAAAACGCTGTTTGTTTGTGATTTCTGCTTATGCTCCCACGGACTGCAGTTCTAATGCAGTCAAGGAAACTTTCTATCACGAACTGAACACGCTGCTACGCAGTGCTACTAGTTCAGATATTATAGTACTTGCAGGGGATATGAACGCACAAGTAGGGCGTCTGAGCTCTTCAGAAGCTCAGCTAGGTGGTAAGTATGGACTTAACGCCGAACGGACTGACAACGGCGAGCGTCTGCTGCAACTGTGTGCGGAGCACCAGTTGTTTCTTACTAGCACTGCTTTTAGACATAGTGGGCGCCGAAGTGCCACTTGGCGTCCACCTGTAGCTGGCCAGAGATGGACCCAAATTGACCACATAGCCATAAATTACAGGTGGCGCGGTTCCATTCTGGATTGCCGCTCGTACTGGAGTACCTATGTCGACTCTGACCATGCCTTGGTGCGCTGTCGTTTCTCCATGAACTTTACCGGAAGGCGCACAAAGCGTCTCCCCCGATTGGCAACGGAGAAATTGTCGCAGCCCTCTGTCAGGCAAGCCTATCAAGAAGCACTGCATAGCGAACTCTCGCTGTCTTGTCCTAATGATACTGAACTTCATTGGAATAGGATCTCGGCCACTATGCACGACGCAGGAGCATCTGCTTGTGGAACTATCAGTCGTCATCGCACCAGTCACTGGATATCCGAGAGGTCCGTGAACCTTTTGGAAGCTAGAAGGCACCTCCCGGCTGGTTCTGAACACAATGTGACCAGACGGGCTATTAGGCGTGGACTAAAGCGGAGCCTACGGGCTGACAAGGAAGCCTGGTGGACCAGTCGGGCTCAAGAAATGGAGGAGGCAGGAGCAGTAGGCAATTACCGGAAGCTCTTCCAGCTAATACGCACCACTGGTCCGAGAAAACCAGGCGTCAGTGAGACAATCATGGACAGCGCGGGTGCGCTTATACACAATAAGGAGCGCCGTATGGCTCGTTGGGCTGAGCACTTTGAACATCAGTTCAGCTGGCCCCCTGCTCCCGGACCTCTTCCTACTCAGGTGATGCAGGACGAGCCATGGACGGTTAGTTTAGAGCCTCCGTCGGAGGCCGAGGTCCGAAACGCGATCACAGCCCTCAATCGTTTTCGTGCCGCTGGCCCGGATTCCCTCCCACCTGCACTATCTAAGGATGTACGTGAGGTCCTCTGCAGGGCGCTGACCTCCCTATTCGAACGGATCTGGAACGAAGAGAGTGTGCCGGCTAATTGGAGCGAATCGATTATAGTGGCAATATACAAGAAGGGGAGTCGCACAGAGTGTGCGAACCACAGGGGTATTAGCCTAACGCCAGTTGTGACAAAATTACTGGCCTCGATTATCGTTCGTCGCCTCACTGCAGAACGGGAATCTCGGATTAGAGAAGAGCAGGCCGGTTTTCGCCCAGGACGTGGCTGTATAGACCATATATTTACTTTGCGGCAGGTGCTAGAGCAGCGCCACGCATACCGCAGACCGACAATAGCTGTGTTCCTCGATTTCAAGAGTGCGTTCGATTCAGTCGATCGATCGATTCTGTTCGAAATACTTGCGCGGAAATGTGTTCCCACGAAATATGTGAACATCCTTCGTGCTCTATACTCGAACACTAGAGGCCGCGTCAGGGTCTATGGTGCCCTATCGGATAGCTTTTCGACTACAAGTGGCGTTCGACAGGGTTGCCCGATTTCCCCGTTTTTGTTCAATTTCGTCCTGGATTCTATCATGGAGTGTTCCCTTGCGGAATCTAACGATGTAGGTGTTGAAGTGCTGCCTGGTGAACGGTTAGTTGATCTAGATTATGCGGACGATATCGTCTTGCTTTTCGACAATGTTGAGGCGGCACAATCAACCCTGAATAGCCTATCCAGAGTGGTCCCATTATTTGGTATGCACTTCGCACCTTCAAAGTGCAAAGTGTTGCTGCAGGACCACCAGCCACTTGATGATGCCTTGACGCTTGCTAATGAGGAACTCGAGGTGGTTGATCAATTCACTTATCTTGGCAGCTGCATCAGCAGTGATGGGCGCATAGAAACTGACGTGAGCTCACGCATTGCAAAGGCTAGAGATGCCTTCTTGAACCTGCGTCATCTTTGGCGACAGAAGGGAGTTTCCCTCCGTCTGAAAGGCCGTGTATACAAGGCCACAGTGAGGGCCGTTCTGCTCTATGGTAGTGAAACTTGGCCCTTTCGGTCTGAAGATCTGAGGCGCCTTCAAGTCTTTGATCATCGTTGTTTGCGAAGCATTGCTGGTGTCGGATGGCACCAGCGTGTCCGAAACGATGATGTGCGTAGGCGAGTACTAGATGGTGATGATCATGCTAACTCCCTAGAACAACAGATAGCACTGAATAAGTTACGTTGGCTCGGGCACGTGCTACGCATGCCTGGTCACCGCTTACCTAGGAGCGCCTTGTTCAGTCTACCAGGTGTCGGATGGTGCAAGGCTCGAGGTGGACAGAAGTTGACTTGGCAACGGGAAATGAAGTCACTGACGACCAAACTGGGTGCCGTTGGTCCGTCTCGCCTTCCGGGTTGGAGTCCACGTGACTCACCTTGTGCTTGGCTCGAGACTTTACAGAACATGGCTCGCAGTAGACACCAGTGGCGCGTCTGCCGCTGTCTCCTAATCGGATTGTCTGTTTAAAGTGTGTTTGGTGCTGAGCTATCTGCAGGGTAATGGCTGATTATGACGCGTGGCAGTGAAAGCCGCAAGGAAGCTGTCTCGCCGATGCCGCCTTATCTTTGCACGATAGCCAGCTGTTTGTGACGGTATGTTGTCTACACAAGGTGTAGGCGCCTTGACCCTGAATGTTTGCTTAGGGCATTAAGGTTTTCAGGTAAGTCCCCCTTCTCTCCCTTTTCTTATTCTTTATTTCATAGGTCCTCATGGTTGTATGACAGCGAAGCATCAGTTCAAATGGCTG